ACCCCGTTTCCCCGTGAAAATCTTCGATCCATTAATCTTTTCGGGGTTGAAAGCGGCCACGGCGAGGAAGGGGTGGATCTCGCCGCGTCCGAGAGAGGAACCTTAACGCACCATTAAAACTTCGATACCTAATTACGTCATTCGTCGAGTCCATGGAACTTCTTAAAGAACGATCTCCGTGCATCGTAAATTAGTTATACGTGACGCCTCCGTGGTCTCCGCGAGCTAAGCACCATTATTAAATTGGTGGTTCAGCAGGGTTCTCTCGATCGTCGTTTTATCTGTGGACTTAACTTTGAAATTTAAAAGGGTACATGTATGTACGTGTCTTGAAGCATGTGAAGAGATAGGTTCTCTCTCTCTCTCTCTCTCTCTCTCTCTCTATATATATATATATATATATATATATATATATACAGGGTGAGTCTCGTAACAGAACGACATCACATAACTCATAAAATATTTGTTGTACGAAAAAATGTTTCAGATGGAAGTTGTATGGATTCCAGGGGGACATATAGTAATCAGTTTTATATCATTTTGTTTTTTTATTAAGATATGAAGGTCATCTTCAATTTTTTAAATGGAACAGTTAATATTTCTTCCTGAATTCGGATAGACATAATACATACAAAAGACTATATAAAAAAGTATTATATATAAATATAAAAATATATATATGTATAAATATAAAAAATATATATATATAAATATAAAAAAGTATTATTATAGGGTCTAAAATATATAGTTACTAAGATATTAGCAAAAATATTTTTTTACATTGTATTAGAAAAGACCGTTAATTTCAATAACTATGTATTTTAGATCCTATTTGGTACAATACTTTTTTATGTAGAATTCAACGCTTTATCCGAATTCGGGGAGAAATATTAACTATTCCATTTAAAAAATTAAAGATGACCTTCATATCTTGAAAAAAAAGCAAAATAACATAAAAATTGATTACAGTACTATATTTCCCCCTGGAAGCCATGCAACTTTCATCTAAAATATTTTTTTGGTACAACAAATATTTTACGAGTTATTTGATGTCGTCACCTTATGAGACTCACCCGGTATATTGGGATTTATTTCGGTAGGAAGCTACAGGAGAAGAATTCAATAAGTCGCGTTCTTTTTAGTTTTTATTTAATTTTATTTGAATTTAATATTAACTTTATTTCGATATATTAAAGTTATTTAATATTTTAATATTACATAATGTTAAAATTTAATACGTCGTTGTACGAGGTATCGAAATTGTTTTTTTTTTTTTAATTGCTTTTGAGGCTGAATTGTCGAAGATATTACAATGTTGCTTGTTGTAACAATTGTATGTTCGGTATTTATAAAACTTAGAAAATTCGCAAAATTTTTTGTCACAAATAGAAAATATCCTATATTATTCATTATCAATTTCCAAAAATTATCATAGAACGATAACTCTATATGAATTTCACCGTGTATGAATTTTTATCCTGCAACAATATCGTCGCTACGTATCTTTCATATTTAACGAACAGTGATAAAACATTTAACTCCGTTGATCTAATTTTGTCAATCATTAAAATTGCAATAAAACAGATAAACGTACACACACGCGATACGTATTTTTACTCCAGATAGATTCAGAAGGCTAAAACCAATTACATCGAATAATTACCCTAAAATTTCCTACATTTCCACTATATCTCGTGTATCTTTAACTATCTATTAAAAATTACTTAACTACCTATTAAAACTTAACTATGTATCGATTAAACTTACTTAGAAATCTATTAAAATATTCACTTACTTAACTATCTGTTAAAACTTACTTAAAACTCTATTAAAGTATTCACTTACTTAAAAATCTATTAAAATATCTAACTATCTGTTAAAACTTACTTAAAACTCTATTCAAGTATTCACTTACTTAAAAATCTATTAAAATATTCACTTACTTAACTATCTGTTAAAACTTACTTAAAAATCTATTAAAATATTCACTTACTTAACTATCTGTTAAAACTTGCTTAAAAATCTATTAAAATATTCACTTACTCAACTATCTATTAAACCTTAAATGTTCTATTAAAAACTTAAAACTGAAACATTCACAGCAGCAGATTTCACGCGTTAACACTTGCACTCTCTGTCCGTGCAATTCTCACCCGTTGATCCCGTTTTAAGCGTTAAAATCATCTCCCAGTTAGATCAGCAGATTACGACACTCGAATACAATTATCGCGTATCGAGGCAGAAATGCCCGTGATAATCTTCAATAATAAAAAAGCTCGGGTCATCTGGGCTCTCGAGCGTTGTAACGCGCAATGTGGAACGCAAGCGAGCGAGGATGCGCTCGCGAGGCGGGCATCTGTGACCCGGCCACCGATCGAATGGGAGCAGAAAACGATCAGGCCGGTACGGTTGCGTCGCTCTAATCGGGCAAAGGGAAAGCACCGGTTAACGGAGCCATCGATGCACGACTCGCGCATCGGTAACAACACGGCAATATCCCGCGATCTGCGTGACCAGAAATTAACTTGATTGAATGTAAACACGATGCTACCGATTGCACGATAAACGATTGCACTCGTTGCGCCAGTCCGATCGTCGTCGTCCGGTCTGTTTGCCGGCGAAATTGCGGCCATGGAAAAAAAAAAAAAAAAGAGGTTTGCCCTGTATTCAGCCGTTTAAACGTCGATTTGGTCATTGATACGACAAACATTGGGGAAAATTGGTTTACAATGTTACGGTAGATGTGATTATATCCTCCCTTTGTCGGGAGGGGATGAATAATTTATATATAACTGGAATATTCATGTAATGTGTGTCCGAAGTAATATATAAGCAGATAGAAGATGATGCCTCGAAGTAGAATTTTCCATATTCTTTTTTTTTTTTTTTTTTAACAAAGAAGTAAGAAAAAAGATGCTTCGTGTTTCGAGAAAATTGATTTTGAAGATTTATCAAAGTGTACTTGAATTTAGCTAATTCTAGACGTGACGGGAGAAAATGATTAATAGGAAGTTGTTGTCCTACGAATAAAAAAAAAGTTTTCAAGAAAAACTTTGAATACATTACTTGGTACGCTTCATAAATTTTCAAATTTTCGATTCTCTTCAAAACGAAGCGTTTTGCACAAAAATTTTTATTCTATTCTCGAAGATTTGTCGAAGATGTTTCTTATCTTATAATATCGAGTCACATTCGTGGTGTAAGTTATGGTTCTCGAATCTGGAAGAGAAAGTAAATTTCAATCTTGCGAAATTTTAATTCGGAGTTTAAATTTAATTTTTTTTAAACTGAACATTTATAAATTATATAAATTTTAATATTTCCGTGTTTCATGTATAAAATAATGTTATAATTACAGTATCTTATCTTAGAAAATTGGAAAGAAAATTAGAAAGCAAGAGATTAATACGCTTTCTTCATACATCTTCTTCAACTGAAAATGTATGAAATATAATATTCAATATTCAATATTATATAATATTCAAAGTATAATGCGTGAACCTTTGCTCGGAGTCCGCTTTTTTAATTATTTTTATAGAAATATAAACTAATATAAATATATAATGTATACTTTGTAAAATTTGACTGATAACACTGGTTTTTGTCACTAATACTATAATATTGAAGCTACGTTGATCAACTCTATAAATTTTGGAAAGTACGGAAGACTGATAATTTTACGAATACATTTTTTTTTACCTTATAGAATTTACCTTATAATTTACCTTATAATTAAGACACAAAACTATGATATAAAATGTTGAAAAAATATTTTTTATTACTTTCGGCATTTCTTATGATAGCAGAAGAAGTATAACAGCCTTAATTTTATTGTAACACTTCAATTTACTATTATTTAAAAAATTTAAAGATTAAAATTAGTTTAAATCATTTTTTATTAAAAACAACCACGCAAGCCTTTTCTATTACCAAAATTTTCAATTGGTAATAAAAATATAATATATATATTATATATATATATATATATATATATATATATACTACAATCGTAGTATATTTAGTATATTATAATTATATTATAATTATATCATTAATATTATAATCATTGTATTGTAGTATTGTATTGTAGTATCATATTATGATGCATGAATTATAATATATTATTTTAATTATACAAAAATATATATTATATACTTATATAATATAAATATATATATATATATAATATAAAATATATATATATAATATAAATATAAAATATATATATATAATATACATATATAATTCATGCATCATAATATGATACTACAATACAATGATTATAATAATTAATGATAATAATATAATTATAATGTACTAAATATACTACGACTGTTCCATTTATAGAAAATTTTGACAACGGAAAAAGTATAATTATGTAACACATAAAATTTTCAATGAAATATGATTTGCACTAATTGGCTCCTGAGACCTCGATTCATGCAACGAATAAACTCGCGAAAGTAAGTTACTCGTTTCTTAAAAATCAAGTCTGAAAATGAAATATAACGTGAATTTGATGAAATTGACTGCCGAGAGAGACTTTTAGCATCTCGAAACCATTTCAGTCAATGACGTCTTCCCTTTTTTTACGGTTTCTCTCTCTCTCTCTTTCTCTCTCTCTCTCTCTCTCTCTCTCTCTCTGTTACGAACCAGATCTAGATATCTCCATCAGAATCTCTTCCTCGATTCTTGACAGCCTCTTCTGCATGCAATAATCCAGATACACCGAAACCCTTTCAAGCGGATAGAGCACCACGACGATTCTCGAGACACGATCGGCCATAGTGCGTGCCTAACTTCGCCACGGCCGAGGGGCCCGCGCTCATCGATTTATGCTAATCGCTTTAACTCGTCCGTACTTTAGGCGTGCTGCCGCGCACGCTAATTTCTCGTTAACGACGCGGTCAAATAGAGAGACGAGAGAGAGAGAGAGAGAGAGAGAGAGAAAGAGAGAGAGAGTGAGTCGGTTTAGCGGTTGGTAATTCGACCAGAGCCTAATGGCCGAATCGGTGAAAACGCAGCCGACATGTTGGCCGACGACACACCCATGGTCACCTAGTCATATCACGCTAATGCGATTACAATCTTGTTTTTGTCATCCCCTTTGACCTTCCCTGCCGTCCCTCTTGACGAATCGGATGTTCGTCGATTGAAAGTCCCGTCGAATTTTGGAAAATCAGAAAAATCTCGTGGAAGAAAAATTCTTTACGACGCAGCCTTTTTGATGGGAAAATTTCAAATTTTAAGAGGAGTACGAGATGTGTATATAATTTTAATTAAATACATTTAATTAAATTGTACGTTTAAGCGAATTTCCTATCGCTTACAATTTTTGAAGAATCAGTCGATATTTAATTGTCTTAAATATTCGAGAATTAAACGATGAAAGGACGATTTATTTTTACGTAAAAGAAGTTTTAGTGGCAAAAATTTTAATAGGAAGGGATAGTCTTATTTAACATTCTATTTTCGTTATTCTTTTTTGTCTCCATGAATAACGCATTTTAGATAGTAGACGTATTTTAGATAATCCAAGTCAATTTTAAATAGTAAATGGAAGAAAGGATTTCAGTGAGTAACAAAGAATGTTTGGATGTTTGTTAGGTCGATCTGAAGCCCTTGCGGGAGGCGACAATCGCAGTTCCAACTCCGAAGATCTCTGAGAAACGAAAAGCGGAAGAGGCCGACGCCAGCAAGGACTTGAAAAAGGTAAGCCACTTGATTATCGAATTTAAATAAAAATAAAGAAAAAAAATAAAAACAAAAAGGAATAAAAATTTACTAACTCAATTGTGTACGTCAAAACGAGAAAAGGAAGACCAGTGTTTATTTCTTTAACAATTATTAAGACTTGTATAATCACTAATAATTGAAAGGGCTGGTTGCAACGAGGGACTACTTCATTTTTAACAAATTTTAAGAAACCAGCGAAAAGTCAATAAAAAATCAACGACTGTCACGAACGTGCTGTAAATTTATCAAGTCAACCAGATTTGGAAATAATGAATTTTTGTATAATGCAAAAGTCGAGATTCCATTTTATCCGTCATTTATGTTTCAATATATAGTTTTTATAAATAAACATTCAAGAAAATTTATTAACATTTACTTGGAAAAACTTATGAAAAATACGATTTTTTTGATATATATAATATATATTAAATATATATATATATAATATTATATATTATATATATTGTTTAAACAAAAGGTTTTTTTGCAAAATGGAAAATTCTTCGTTAAAAAAAAAACACTTATTAATTAAAAAAAAGTATCTTCGATAATTCCCGAGATATTTGACAAAATATGTTCCATACCGCCAACTTTGAAGGTAGTTTTCACCCCTTCATCATCGACGATTGCCGATAAAAAAGAAAAACGCAGGTCAAATAGTTTTTTGACACTACATTTATGCCAAATTTCATCAAAAATCGATGATTCGCACTTCGGTTCACACTACGTTCCGTTGCAAGTGAAAAGTCACGTTTGTTTTGGCTTTTCAACGAAGTGCAAGGAAAAAAATCTGCGAAAAATGACGCTGCCTGCTTTTCGCTGCAGATCAGTCTGTCTTAAAACAGAGTAGGAAAGAAACGAAATACAGAGACGTGAACGTAAGAGGCAGCTCGAGCTATATTTACTTTCAAGCTAGACTCCTTAGCCGTCGAAATTTCGGTAGACGCGAAACCGAGGGTTATATTTCATCCGCTCGCCGGGGCATCTCGGTCGTCTCTCGTCGAATATTGACGAGCGGAGAGAGAGCATCCTGGCGCCGTGACGGGCCACGTCCTCATTAATCCACAACGGCCAGTCGTCATTAACGAAATAAACGGCCGTGAACCACCGCTGCTTTTGAAATTCGATGCTGTTCCGTCGTTCCATCATTCAGGAACGTCGTTCGAGGAGATCCGCGTCGATTCGACGAAACCGCTCGAGTTCTTCTCCTTTCGCTCTTTTTTTTTTTTTGTTTATTTTCGACGGATATATTTCTCCCCTTTTTCTTCATGCTTCTGCCGTTTTTAATTATTTGCATTTGATTCTTTTTTTGGAGGGAGGAGGGGTTTTATACAACGTTTAGCGTCGAGTGTTTGAGATTTTTCTTTTTTTAACCTTTAGGACGCACGTCGAGAATCTTTTGTCCTAAAATTGCAATATTTTCTCAGTTTTAAATATATTCAGTATAATGTATAACCTAGGCAAAACAATAAATTTATTACTTCTCAATCATTTCTATCCAGTGACACGCCGACGAGTTCAAAAAGAAAGCGACGAATTATTGTATACGGTTTGGTCACTCGTTATGGTCCGCAATCGCTAGTTGCCAGCGCAAGTGTTTAAACATAAAAGATTAGCTTGAAATTACGCTGTCTCATCGATGAAGAGGAACGTGCATTTAGTTTGTTTTTGGATTTGACCATTTCAGAGAATCCTCTGCAATAATAATTGGTATTTTGACAATATTCATGTCATTACAGAGGAGCTAGTATTTTATCTTCTCATTCACATGTTGCTTGTTTGAGAAAAGGAATTTGTTTTCGAAAGTTAACTATGTGTGTCTCTCACGTTCATTTCAATTATAAGAGTGTATGATTTCTCAGATGAGACAAGATATTAAAGATCAATAGTGTAAAAGTGATGTCAAAAATATAATATATAAAAGCGATATCAAACTCGCACCCTTCTGAATAAAACGAACTTATTGTCAATCATTTGCCAGTGCAAGTGGTTAAGACTGAGAACTATCAGAGACATAGAGATAAAAAGATAAGGAAGCTTTATGATACAATAGAATGCGCAAACTTTTATTTATATATTTTAAGGAAAAATCATTTAAATCTTTGAAAATATATTGTTTTATGTTTATAAAATATCTGACGAAAATTATATTTCTATTATTCTATTATTATATTTCTAGTGTTAATAGCGAATGGAATAATACAGTAGTATGGAGTATAATTGCGTTGAAATTTGTAAATAGTGCAGAGCTTTCTCGCGTTTGTATAAATTTCTTTTGTATAAAATGTAATATATATATTATTAGATATAATATTAGGTATTACTAGATATTATTAAATATAAGATTATATATAATATATATATAATCTTTCGTGTAAAATATAATATAATGGTTTGAACGGACTTTTTTTTTTTTAATTTACCGTAGTCTTCGTGTAAAGATCTTGCGTGTCTATTACTTATGATACGCTGAATACTGAAGTCGTGAACAGAACTTAATAGTTTCATTTACTGTATCTTGACATTTAACGCAGAAATATTTCACAAACATATTACGTATAAACCTATTATGCAAAAACTTTTTAAAATTTCATTAGCATGATTATCGTGATTATATTTGGAACCAATCCGAAAATGTGTACAAGTAATTCTGGAATGTGAATAAATACCTCATAGTTTGTACATGTTCCAAACTCTGCACACTTGACATAGTCGCGTCCCGTTATACTGTTAATGAAATTCTTACATAAAACACACAACTTCATGAAATCAAACCAGAAATTAAATGTAGCAAATATTCCAATATTTTCGTGAATTGCTATATATGTATCATACATACACGTGTACAATGAAAATTAAAAGATTGCAACAACTCAGTTTCCTCTCAATCTTTCTCTCGAAATAATTGAACGAGAATAATTTCAAAGCAATTCGATCGACCGTCGTCGATATAAGTCGCATTGTGCAGGATGTCGAGCAAACGATCGTTTGCTTTGAAACGATTGATTTACAGATTCTGTATATAACCAGCGCTACAAGCACGAAGAATCTTTCCGGATCTGAATCGTAGAGCTGATAGAATTGAACGCTCGAGGCGAGAGGTAAATCAGAATCGGCAAGATGTTTGGACAATTCTTTGTCGGTGTTGGAAGTCGGCGTATTTCGAATCACAGTTTCCCCGAGTTTTGGTACAATGAAGTTCTAATGCTAAATCGACGTAATGAATTTCTGACGAGAGTGCCACTGACGCTGACTGAGCACCGAGGATGCTCAGACAGAACAGTTTTCGAGGATGTACGTAGGGTTTTCAGGTATTTAACCTCTTGCATCGGAATGACGTCGCACGTCGAGTGCTTTTTGTCCCGAAATTGCAATATTTTCGCAGTATAGTTAAGTATAACCCAGGCAAAACAAATAATAAATTCATTACCTCTCAATTATTTTTATATACCGACGAGTTCAAGAGGAAAGCGACGAATTATTGTATACGGTTTGGTCACTCGTTATGGTCCGCAATTAGTTGACAGCGCAAGTGGTTAACTTGGAGAGGAACTCTTCGGTTACTGTGCACATGTTTAACTTTCCAGAAACTTAGAGTCTCGGCAACAGAAAAAAAAAAAAAAATAGTTATCTCGCTGACGAAAAATATACGGAGAGAAATATTTTCAATTTGCAAAAAGAAAAAGAGATTCTTGATTTATTTCCCGAGAGGGTCACATTACTTATAGAAATCTTTGGATACTCTGTATATTATTTATTTTATCAACATTATAACGAAGAGTTACCTGGGAACAATAATTTTCATCATAGGTGTCTTAAAAAAATTGCAGAATTTGAATTTCAAGAATATAAGATATAATTCGTAATAAAGGAAAAAAGCAGTATCTGTATTTAAATATAATATTAAAATACATATACAGGCTGAGCCAAAAGTTACTCTCATCTATTTTTTTTTTTTTTTTTTTTAATAAAACATGAAAATATAAAAATACTAATTTTATTAATTAAATTTAAGTTCAAACATGATTTTTTTCGTTGTGTTTCAAAAATTGTTTCTTTCAACCTCCATAGCGTTCGCAAATTACGGATTTATTTTAGTAAAAAGTAATTTTCGTGAAACGAATACACGCTATTGAATTTGGAAGAAAATACCTGATATTTTCAATTATTATGAAATTTTTTAAATTATCAAAAATCGTTATTTTTGTCTTGGACTTTTGTATTCTCATAAATACACACAAAGTTTCAATCGGGCAAGTTCGATTCCCCTTTTTATTCTTTTTTTTTTAACAGTTAACAATCCTTAGAACAAACAAAAAAATCAAGAAACGAAGAACAATTTGCTGATCGAGATTAGTTCGTTCGAGTTAGCCAGACGAAAGGAGTATTGCGCGAGACAGGCGGAAGTGAACGATAGAACGCTCTCGTCGAGCTCTACGTGAAATTTATTTCGAATTCCGGTGTACGCGTGCTACGTAGATTAATGGCGGATTAACAAAGTGTTCGCAGGCAGCCGGAGTGGTCCCGGTTAAGACTTTAAGCGCTACCTTGAGCAATTAATTTCGAGTAGATCTCGAGCCGGCGCGCCGTGGCCAACTTCCTCCGACATTGAAAAAACAAACAGCCGACGGTAAATTATCCACTCTGTGCCCTCTGGTTCTCCCGGGGCAATTACGTCAAAATTAGTGAAACGCCGTGATCAAAGGATATACGGAACTCTGGGTCCGAGAAATATTTTCTCTCTGGTTTGTCGAAATGCAATTTTTCGATCAGTTTCTCGTATACTTGTCTGTATTCATCAGAGTGATTCACATTCGTATAAATGTCTGGATAATTCCGAGAATGATGAAGCAGTCTTACGGTATGATCAGACGTTGTTGATTTTACTGTTTGAAAATGAAAAACTACGATCGATAGTCACTTCTTCTTTTTCTTTTTTCTTTTTTCTGTCTCGTGTGCGAAAAGAAAGAAAAATC